GGTTTTTCTCTTGCATGAGTTTGTCCCTATTTCCTGACTTCAAAATGACATAAATAGGCTTTAAAATATTTACAATACTAGAGACATGGCTGGGCAGTTAAGAAATGTTCATTCCCAGGACCAAGGTCCAATTTTTGACAACTTCCTGTATTTCCTGCTACAAGAAGATCCAAGGGTCTAAAATTCTCAGGAATGAGCATGCACATTCACACACCCACATAAACATACAATGTCATCACATAATTACAAAATAAACAACTCTTAACCAATTTTACATTCATGAATGATTTTCTCATGTAAGCATTCACTCCTGTACCACAGGTGTTCAGGTATCTAATGGCTTACTTACAGAATTTTTCTTCACCATGAATTGGTTCATATAACAAAAAAGCAACATTTAGACATGAAATCTGAGAAATCAATCCTTCTAAGTTAGTGGTTTTATTTGGAAGTATTTAGGAGATGCTGCCCTGCTAGAGGAAATATGTCACTGGGGGTAGGCTTTGAGAATTTACATCTACACACCATTTCTAGTTCCCACTCTCTGCTTCATGCTGCAGGTTAAAGATGTGAGTTCTTAGCTTCCTGCTTTAGCTGTCATGTCTGACACTGTTGCCACGCCACTTTCATGGTGTTCCTATATCCCTCTAGAACCAAGGGCCAAATTAAACTCATTTATAAGTTGACCTAGATATTATATCACAACAAAAAAGGAGCTAACACAAATTCATAAAGGTTTTAAACCTAAATTAGTTATTTCGTGTAATTGAAGAGAAGTATAGAATCTAAAAGGGTTACATTATTGTTTAAATTCATAGTGCAAGTGTTAAAGCTCTGGCGGGAAAGGTATCCTGACTATCAGAATCATGCTATACCTATAGCTGTCAAAGGAAGGTCTCCTGGATACCTACAGCTCTGAAGAGAAAGATACTCTGACTGTTGGAAATCAGGCCATACCTACAGTTTTGAAGGGAAGATATCCTGGATACCTACTGCTGTGAGGAGAAAGGTACCCTGACTGTTGGGAAGTCAGGTTATACATGAAGCTGTGTTCCAGTGGGGAATGATATTCCTGCAAAATGCAGTAATCCTGCTCCTCTCCAAAAGGGAGCCATTATAGCTGGGCTGTGTGGCACTATGCTAAAATAGTTACCCAGCAGAAATGCCCATTGCTGCTCTGCCCCACTCCCCTAAGGAAGTTTCTCAGCAGAGCTGTCAATTGCTTCTCTGCTCTGCTCTACTAGGGAGTGTCCCAGCAGAGATGTCCATTTCTCCTCAGCTCCAGCCAAAATTGTTACTTCTCTGCTTCACTCAAGTAAGGGGAAAATGGCTGCAGAAATGCAGCAGCCTCTAGTGAAAAGTTGTTACTTCTGCTGTGCTCTGTAGCTAGAGTTTTCCTGCCTGGCCCACAGTCATGGCAAATCTCTCTCACCCGCCAGTCCCCCAGCCACTCAGACCCGACCAAGTAAACACAGAGACTTATATTGGTTTCAAACTGCATGGCCGTGGCAGGCTTCTTGCTAACTGTTCTTACAGCTTAAATTAATCCATTTTTATTAATCTATACCTTGCCACGTGGCTTGTGGCTTACCGGTACTTTACATCTTCCTTATCCTGATGGCGGCTGGCAATGTCTCCCCTCCCAGCTTCCTGTTCTCTCAATTTTTCTCTCTGTTAGTCCCGCCTATACTTCCTGCCTGGCCACTGCCAATCAGTGATTTATTCATTGACCAATCAGCAACACATTTGACATACAGACCATCCCACAGCAGTGCTCCTTTAAGAGAGTTTGCCAGCAGAGGTGTCCATTGCTTCTCTGATCCAAGCCAATGGTGAGATTCTGATCTGCTTCAGTGAAACGTCTTCACCCAAAACTCATTCAAGAGACTTATTTGGGAGAAAGGAATCCAGGAGAGCCACTGCTTCTGCCAGGGTGGTAAAAGGCAGCTGCTAACTGAGCAGGCACAGGGCTTGAACAAGCTCAAAGATTGGCTGTATTTCATGCTCAGGCATTGGTTGGTTTCAAGCTCAGGGGTTGGTTGGTTTGGTGCTTAGTTGGTCAAGGGTAGAGTGTATTTCCTGGGTTCTGATTTCAAGTCCAAAGAGTGTTTCTTTCACTGGCTCCTTTTAACATTTCGGGTCTAGTTTCAGGGTCAGGGTGTTTCTAGCACTGGTTCTTGGTTCAGGGACAAAGTGTTTCTTTGTCTCTTGTTTCAGGGTCAAAGTGTGATTTTAGCTCTGATTTCCAGGCCAAGGGGTGTGTCTTTCACTGGCTCTATTTTCACGGTCAGGGTGTGTTTCTGTGTCTGGTCCTTTTACCCCATACAAAAGCTTTCATAAATTCATAAGTTTATTTGTTCCATGAGTTTTCTGTTGTAAACAATATAAAAATGGGCATCAAAATGTTGAACAGATTGTTAACATTGTCAAATATTTTTCTACAGAATACACACTCTTGTGTAACTGATTATAAGTGCATTGGATAAAGATCTTACCAAATACTTCATAATAAGATGCCCACAGCATCTTTTTCAGATAGTCAAAAACTATTGTGATATGGAAAGGCTTTAACAGATTAATCACACACAAGAAGTTTTACTCCTGTATAAAGTACAAAACTTTACCACACTGACTATATTTATAGGGTTTCTTTGCAGTATGATTTTTTCTCATGATTTTTAAGATTACTCATACATTTAAAGGCTTTACCACACTGATTACATTCAGTGTTTCTCTCTAGTATGTGTTCGTTTATGCCTTTGTAGATGACTGTATTGTGCAAAGGCTTTACCACACTGATTACATTCATAGGGTTTCTCTCCAGTATGTGTCCTTTGATGCATTTGTAGACTACTGACATATGCAAAGGCTTTAGCACACTGATTACATTCATAGGGTTTCTCTCCAGTATGCGTTATTTTATGCATTTGAAGACTTTTTTGACATGCATAGGCTTTGCTACATTGATTACATTCATAGGGTTTCTCTCCAGTATGTGTTCTTTTATGACTTTGAAAACTTTTGTGACATGCAAAGGCTCTGCCACATTCATTACATTCATAGGGTTTCTCTCCAGTATGTGTTCTTTTATGCATTTTAAGATGACTGTGTTGTACAAAGGATTTATCACACTGATTACATTCATGGGGTTTCTCTCCAGTATGTGTTCTTTTATGCTTTTGAAGATGACTATAACATACAAAGGCTTTACCACACTGATTACATTCATAAGGTTTCTCTCCAGTATGTATTCGTTTATGCCTTTGAAGATGACTATGTTGTGCAAAGGCTTTATCACACTGAGTACATTCATAGGGTTTTTCTCCAGTATGTGTTCTTTTATGCATTTGAAGATGACTATGACATACAAAGGCTTTTCCACACTGAATACATTCATAGGGTTTCTCTCCAGTATGTGTTCGTTTATGCCTTTGAAGATGACTGTGTTGTGCAAAGGCTTTATCACATTGATTACATTCATAGGGTTTCTCTCCAGTATGTGTTCTTTCATGCATTTGAAGATGACTGTGTTGTGCAAAGGCTTTAGCACACTGATTACATTCATAGGGTTTCTCTCCAGTATGTGTTCTTTGATGCATTTGAAGATTACTGACATATGCAAAGGCTTTATCACACTGATTACATTCATAGGGTTTCTCTCCAGTATGTGTCCTTTGATGCATTTGAAGATTACTGATGCATGCAAAGACTTTACCACACTGATTGCATTCATAGGGCTTCACTTCAGTGTGTGTTTTTTCATGCATTTGAAGAGCACTAAGATGTGCAAAGGCTTTAACACATTGAGTATATCATTGAAGGTTTCTCTTCAGTTTGACTTCTTTCTTGCCTGCAAAAATAATGGCACATGTAAAAGCATTACATCATACAATATTCTGTTTAATCTTTATAGCTGCATGAGTTAATTTTACAATTTGGTCCAATTATAAAGAGGAATTAGATCTTAAGGTTTTATCATTGTGTTCACACACTCATGTTACTCCTTTTCTTTAAGAGTTGTTTTGCATCTTGGAAGATACCTGTGATGGTAAGATCCTTTATTACATGGTTCACATTTACAGTATCTTTTTTTCTATATGAGATTATTCACATATTTGAAGAGAACTGGAAAAAAATCAGAGTTTTAGCACTTTATTGCATTAATAAATTTTCCTATACTGTGAATCATACTACATTTGCTAAATGAACTAGGACAAACAGAAGTTTTTACACAGTCCTAGTACTCATAGGACTTTCCTGCACTGCAAGTTTCTTTATGCATTAACAACGAACCTGGAAAACCAATTACTTGTATATTTGAATCAAATTCAACAAGTATACACAATGTCAGGATTGCTACATATCTTCTAATTGTTCTGAGAGAGAGGTATGTTATGACTTTCCATAGCCCTATGCACATTTGACTTGTATTCAGAGTGACATATGATATACACAGTAAAGGAAGAATAACCAATAAAAGTTTTCCACATTCAATTCACACAGTCTAACTTTTTGTACTCATAGACTTGTGGTATAAGAATTAAGGGTTTTTTTTTTTTTGACTTGACTCTTGACTCTAACTGCCCCTCTCACTAAACAGCACATTCACAAGTATATTAGTTAGACTTCTTTACTATGGACTATTTGCTTATTATTTGCTTTGAAGATATACTTATCACCTCTTCACTGTGCATACCTTTTGTAACATGAATGATATGAAATAAATGGATTGATAGTTTTATAGCATAACTCTCATAGTGCTATGATTCAAATGGTGATATCTTTTTAGACATTGCTTCCTTGACTTCTTTCTTAAAAGAATGCCTTGCAAATGAAATTCACCTACCTGAAATTGAGGTATAAGGTTTTATGAGAATTTAATAATTATTATGCATTTTAAGCTATGCTTATTTATACTGTTGCTTCTGTTTTAAAAACTTCCAGGACACATTATAATTTCTTCAGAGACACATTTGTATCATCTTGCACATGAAAATTACCTTTCATGTCTTCTAGAACTTTGACAATGTTCTTCAATATTATGGTCTTTCCAACGTATCCTAAAATATATTATAAGAAAAATATATGTTATATTATTGAGAACTGTGCAAAATTGTAGTTAAAATCTTCAGTGAACCTTAGAAACATGCCTGATTTTTTTTCATCTCATTCTTGTTCTTTCTCAATGAAATTATAGAAGGGCATCAATAAACCAAGAAACAGTTGTCACCTTATTTTAAAACAGAGAAAATTCAGTGTTACCTATAGTAATGAGATTCCTGTAGGTCTCCAGCATCACATATTTGTAGAGATTCTTCTGAGAAGGATCCAGCAAATTCCACTCTTCCCAAGTGAAGTCAACATGCACATCATCATAGGTCACTGCACTCTAAAATATTCCATACATGTGTACAAAAGAGAGCATGATACTGACATTGTTAATATATTATTTGACAATATAATCATATAATCCTGATGCTCCTCACACTTAATTCATGACATTGTCATTATAATGTAATCACCTAATCACTTTAGAAGAAAACTGAATAGTAGGTTCACTTCTGTCATTTCTGTACCCTTTGAATAGGATATCATCTTACAAGAGAAATGCCTATTAAAAAACAGAGAGAGACAAGTAAACCGATCAATAGTGCAGAGTATACATGAGAGAAATTTATGCACAATTACTACAAAAAAGAAAAATAAAATGGACAAACTGGATGTATTGGCTCATGCCTTTAACCCCAACACTCAGAACGCAGAGGCAGATACCCCTGAGTTGAATTACAGCCTACTCTATGCAGTCATGTCTATGACAGCCAGAAGTACATATTAAGACCCTTTCTCCCATGAAGAAGTCAATCAAACAAATAAAAAAGATAGAAAGAACTTGGAGGTTTTAACTGAAGCTCACACAAAGAATTAAGTAGTCACACTAGTTCTGTATTCATCTTCCAGAAACCTGAAGTACCCCAATTTAAACTGTAACATCAAAATTTTACTAAAAGGCACTGTGGGTTTAAACAGTTACAAATGAACAGATAAAAGCTAGTTCAGGATTTCTGAGATCATCTTTTTTTTTTTTTTTTTTTTGGTTTTTCGAGACAGGGTTTCTCTGTGTAGCTTTGCGCCTTTCCTGGAACTCGCTTTGGAGACCAGGCTGGCCTCAAACTCACAGAGATCCGCCTGGCTCTGCCTCCCAAGTGCTGGGATTAAAGGCGTGCGCCACCACCGCCCGGCCTGAGATCATCTTTTGATCACTGTGATGACCAGGCACCCACATGGTGTATATCGATGCATAGAGGTAAAATACTCATATTTATTTAAATATTCAAAACAAATGCAACAGGCAGGAAGAAGGTCATGCCCCTGCAATCCAATGCCTCAGTAGGCTCAGGCACTATTAATGTCATGAATACATGCTATCCAGAAAAACAGAATGATACCCTCTGCCAAATTTTAAAATTCACAATATGGGTGAAGCTCAGCACAACAGCCTATGCTTGACATGTACCAAAACCTACATTCCAGGCCCATCACCCAATAATATAAAAACAAATAAAGCTAGGAATGTTGGCCAACCATTAATCCCATGATTTGGGAGCCAGAGTAAAGGGGATCTCTGAGTTCAAAGTCAGCCTAGTGTACAGAAGTATACTTTCAGGACACCCAAGGCTACACAGACAAACCTTGTTTTCAAAAACAAACAAGCAAAATAATTAAAACAGCAGGCAACCAAACTGCCTTAGCACTGAATGGCAAGTGCTTCTACTGTATCTTATGTGATTTACAGATAGAGTCTATAATGGTGCCGAAGGCTTGACAGTACAGAAAGGAAACTGGCTTAGTTTCAACCACAACACAGTAGACACAAAGAACAGGAAAGGGGTTGAGGCTATAGAGATTCATATCATATTCCCAATGAGGAATTTCATCCAGAAAGGCTCCTCCTAGTAGAGGTTTTACAAACAACTGGAAGAAAGTCACCAAAGAGAGACATATTTCAAATACATCATCCTACCTGGGAGGTTTTAAATCAACTATATTCTGACCCAGGTCACTTTAGGCTCATGATCATCCATGAAGAAAATGTATTTAGTTGCTACAATGATACTCATAGTCTGCAACATCCCTTACATTGTTCAAATATCCAGTCTCTTCTGACACTCAAGACAATATCTTAACAGTGACATGTTATAAAATCAGAAATCAAGTTACATTTTTCTAATATACAATAGTACAGAATACCATTCACATTCCAAAAGAGAAATGGAGATATATCAAGTGAAGACTGGACCAAGACAAGACTGAAGCACAACATGACAAACATCAAATCCTGTATCTCTGTCTCAGATACATAGTGTGTTAGTTTCAAAGGGCTTAGCTGGCCTTATACAAGCAACTTCTCATACATCTCTTTGGTTACTTCAACTCCCTATATACAGCTAGGTCTCCATAGAAGACATCTCATAGCTTAGGTATCTCAACATCTTGTGGTCTCAAAATGCAACCCAGACTGTTGTGGAATATGATTTTAAGATGTGCTATATTTGTTTATGCTGGGAACTTTTGTTTTAATGATGCAAAGATATGTTGCATTCTTTTATGTTACATTTGTTTAACTCTGTGACATTGTGATACTTCTAAAGCCTGTCCAAAATAATTGATTGGTCTAATAAAGAGCCCAACAGCCAATAATTTGGCAGGAAAGGACAAGTGGTGCTAGTAGGCAGAGAGAATAAATGGGAGGAGAAATCTGTGAGGAAAAAATAAGGAGGAGTAAGAAAAAAAGAGGACACCAGGGGCCAGCCACCCAGCTACACAGCAAGCCACAGAGCAAGAAAAAAAGAAAGGTATACAGAATAGAGGAAGATAAAAGCCCAGAGGCAAAAGGTAGATGAGATAATTTAAGTTAAGAAGAGCTGCCTAAACCTAGTAAGATATTGAATGTGGGTAATATAAAGTGGGCAATTTCTTTCTCAGATTGCCTATTGTAGTTATACAAATAATAAAGTTAATTCTGAATTATCAGGAAAAAAATAAACTAAAAAAAAAAAGCTGCCTAGAAACAACTTACAACCAGGCATTTATAAGAAAGTATAAGCCTCCACGTGTGTGATTTACTTCAGAGCTGGGTGACAGGGCCCCAAAAGAATAAAGAGTAAAAAACAAAAACAACAACAACAAAAACAAAACAAAACAAAAAGAACAGGCTTCAATCTTCACAGCTTCATGCAGTGAATTCTCACAGTGTCCTTACTGGGTTTCTGACTGCCAAACATAGATCCCGGCAACAATGCTGAACTGTAACCACAGCCTAAGAATTCATGATCTTAAATTTGGAGTCTTTCTTGTTTCCATGAACAGCACATGATGGGTGATCCTGCAAAGTTTGATTTCTTGTAGTTTTTTTTCTTTTTCCTTTTTTTTTTTTTTCTGAGACAGGGTTTCTCTATGTAGCTTTGGAGCCTGTCCTGGAACTCGTTCTGTAGACCAGGCTGGCCTCGAACTCAGAGATCTGCCTGCCTCTGCCCCCTGAGCGCTGGGATTAAAGGCGTGTGCCACCGCCACCAAGCCCAAAGTTTGATTTCTTAATTGGGATGGACACTAGCACATTTGGACCACAGGTGTAGCAGATTTTATATGAGCTTGCTTCCTGGGACTAGGAATCACTTTGCTTACTCCTTCCATAAATTGAAGATTTAGCTGGATAGAATTATGCCCTTAGGGCAACTTGCTAGGCTTCCATTCCATACCAAGGGCTTTTTCTATAATAGTGATAAACTTTAAAAATTCTTGCCTGTTTCAGCACTTAACTGCCATCTGAAACTACTTCATTTTCATCTATTTCTGCCCCACTAGTTTTCTTTTCATGGGAGACCTGAATGAGTTATCAGTAATAAACATCCAACAGAATCAATATTCCACTTAAGGAATTAGCTCATAATTTTTTAATTCTGCCTTACTAAATTTCCATGGTATAGACAGAATAAAAAAGATTTTGGAGCAAAAATATGATACAAATAATGTTTAGTTTAATTTTTTATGGAGTCTACCTATTTCCAACTGAAATCTATGATCTTAATCTCCACTCTCTGCCAATCTTGCTGGTCCTAAAAAAACAGCCAACTAAGTTCTACGTACAACTTTCTATGGTTTTTGTCACCTAAAGTTTTGATATCTTTCACATTCTTCCAAAAGACAACATTCCCAGGTTCTTCCTAGCAACAAAATAATTTTATTGTTCCGTATTTTTTTGTTCTAACTTGCTTTTATCCTGCTGTGATTAAATCCTCTAATCAAAAACATCTCAGGCGATGAATTTGTTTATTTGGCTGATTGTGTCAGAACACATTACACCATTTTGGGAGATTAGGATAGAAACTCAAGCTAACAATTAAAGGCAAAATCCATGGGCAAAGATTGTTTCCTCGCTTTCTCTCTTGCCTAGTCATTGTCTCATGTTTGAATAGCTCCCTTTCCTAGCCCAGGCCTGCTTTCTTAGGGATATTGACACTCTAAGTGGAGGAGCCTCCACATCAATCATCAATCAACACAACCTCTCACAGACATAACAGTTCCTGGCTATTACGAATAAAGCTACTATGAACGTACTTGAGCAAGTTTCTTTGTGGTAGGATGGAGGAGCATCTTTTGGGTATATACCCAAGAGTGGTATAGCTGGGTCTTGAGGTAGATTGACTCCTAATTTTCTGAGGTTTGCATATTGACGTCCACAGTGGCTGTACAAGTTTGCAGTTGTGACAGCAATAAATCCCCTTGCTCCATGTTCTTACCAGCATTAGCTGTCACTTGTGTTATTGATCTTAACCATTCTGACAGGTGTCAGATGAAACCTCAAAGTAGTTTTCATTTAAATTTCCCTGATGGCTACAGATCTTGGAAATTTAAAGTGTTTCTCGGCTACTTTAGATTCCTCTACTGACAATTCTGTCTAGAGGTGTACACCATTATAATTGAATTATTTGGTTTGTTGTTGCCTAGTTTCTTGAGTTCTTTATTATCCTGAGTGAGGCAGCCCAGAAGCATATAGAC